CCTCAGCAGCTGGCCACGTGGAAGGTCCACTCGTCTCAGGAGCTGGTAGAGACTAGAATCCGTGTATCAGAACCTATCGGGCAGGATGGTATTCAGGGCTGGCTAAACATTGCTTCCCCGAAGGGGTTCCACCCTCTCCCCATCTCCAGGAACTTTGCTTCTCCTCTCCCTGGGCCAGTTCGTGGGCTTCCCGTTGCTATCCCTTACAGACTTTTTCTCCCACAAACTGTGGGGTTTGGAGCCAGGGCCTGGCTCTGAATAGTCCCCTCCGTTTCCTCTTCTGCTGGTGTCATTACTCTTTTCTTGGCCCCTCCCTTCATTGACGCCACACCCCCATCTTTATCTCAAAGCTTCCTTTAATCTGCCAGACCACACTGGAGGGCCCCAGAGGCTGGGGACCCTGAGAGGGTGACAATATTCTGTGGCATGCATTCATCTGAGCAGAAGTTCTTCCACTCACAGTGTCCCCTTGCCTGTAATATTCCTTCATGCCTCCATTGCTAGATGCCCATCGAACATCTATTATGTTCAAGGCTCTCACTGCGAAGGGGCAGGGTGTTGTGATGTATCTGTTCCATTTCCATAGCCAACTTACTTGAGGTAAAAAAAGAGGACGCCAACATAAACCAACTAAACTACAGAGAAAAAGCGCTCGGTGGGGATGCAGGCTTCCTCCCATGCACAGTGGCCTGGGCTCAAGTCCCAGCTCGCAGAGAGATGCAGGGCTGTGAAGTGTGTGCAAACAGGTGCATGCTTCCACGGAGACCACTGAAGGGCAGGGGGACGGTCAAGGAGACTTCCTGGAGATGGTGGCATTTCAGCTGCTGCTGCAGACTGTGGTGACAGACTGTCAAGTATTGGGGCCTCATTATCATATCCCCACTGTAATGTGCCACTGATCTATCTCTCTGGTCCAGCAGAATTGACATCGCTAGGGATTTTGTTAGACAGGCAAGTTCCCAGGCTTAACTTCTGCTCTGTTGAAACAAAAACCTTGGAGTATGGGGCTGGGAAGATGGCTCAGCAGTTAAGAGAACTGGCTGCTCTTCCAGAGGACCAGGGTTCAATTCCCAGCACCCACATGGCTGCTCACAACCATCAGTTCCAGGGGGATCTGACGTCATCTCTGACTTCTAGGGGCACTAGTGGTGCAAGTGGACAGACAGACATGTTGGCGAAACACGCATACCTATAGAATTAAAAAGAAAAGCAAACAAAAAAACCTCGGTGGGGCCCAGCACCCTGGATATTAAGGGACTCTTTGGGAGACCCTGATACAGGCTGAAGTTTGGGCCCTTCTAGGACCTAGGATGGACATCTGCATATGGGGCTGTGGTCTGGGTATTGGGAGGGCGCCCAGAGATGAGGGAGATGTGGTCCCTGTACTTGGGATTCAGGTGTGTTGGAAAGGGAGGCAGATGCCCATGGAGATATCTCTTAGTAACAGATGGGGCAGAACCTTTGAGGGCTCACAGGAACCACATAGCTCTGTGAGTCTCAGGAGTCTCTGTAGAAAGAGCTAGTTCCCTGTTGGGCACTCTGGGATTCAGCCTCGCTGGAAGTTCTCCCTGATGTCTGAGTGAAGCCTCTCCACTGTGTGCCAGTGTGGCAGGATCAACTGAATGAGGCTCTGGGCTTCACTAGGTTTGTCCATGTCTAAGATGGAGGCGCTGGATTGGGGCTGATGAGCCTGAGGTGGTCCTGTGGAGACAGGGGAGTCTGGGTTTCAGCAGCAGTGTTTGTTACATTCCCTGTGGACTCAGTGAGGTGGAGCTGTCCAGGAGGTGTCTCCACACCTGCTTTGACTTCCTTGCAAGGCTTCATCATGTTGGGCATGTTCACCACGCACAGAGGAACAGCAGTGCTTAAACATTGTTTCTTGGTCCGGGAGGCCCTCTGCCACAGGTTCCTGATTTCCTGTAAGGTGACACTCCCCATAGCTAGGACTGCACCTGTCTTGTTCTGTCCTGTCCTGTCAGGCCTTACACCACTCCCCTCCTCCCAGCCTGCCCAAGCCCATTCAGGCTCTAGGCTGACTTTAGTACCACTTCCTCCAGAAGCCACCTGGATTTCTCTAGTCCTTAGTGCCATGCGCTCATGTGCATGTTTGTGTGTGTGTGTGAGAGAGAGTGTGTGTGTATATGTGTGTGTGTGTGTGTGTGTGTGTGAGAGAGAGAGAGAGAGAGAGAGAGAAAGAGAGAGAGAGAGAGAGAATGTGTGAGAGTGTGTGTGTATATGTGTGAGAGAGAGTGTGTGAGAGTGTGTGTATATGTGTGTGTATTTGTGTGTGAGTATGTGTGTGAGAGAGTGTGTGTGTGAAAGAATGTGTGTATATGTGTGTGTATTTGTGTGTGTGAGAGAGAGTGTGTGTGTGTATATGTGTGTGTGTGTATTTGTGTGTGTGAGAGAGAGTGTGTGTGTGTATATGTGTGTGTGTGTATTTGTGTGTGTGTATGTGTGTGTGTGAGAGAGAAAGAGTGTGTGAGAGTGTGTGTGTATATGTGTGTGTGTATGTGTGTGCCAGAGTTACTTTCCTCAATTGCTTCTTCATCTTTAAAAAGTTTTAATTTATTTCATTTGTTATTATTAACTATGTGTATATGTATGATGTGTTTATGGGGGGGCACAAGTGCCACACGTTTATGGAGGTCAGAGGGCAACTTTGTGCAGTCAGGTTCTCTCCTCCCATCTTTATGTGGTTCAGGGAGTTGAATTCAGGCTGCCAGGCTGGCGTTGTTGGGCAGTGTCTCAGTCAGTGTTCTATTGCCGTGAAGAGACAAAGGCAATGCTTTTCTTTTTCTTTTTCTTTTTGAGGTTTCTCTGTAGCTTTGGAGCCTGTCATAGAACTCGCTCTGTAGACCAGGCTGGCCTCAAACTCACAGAGATCTGCCCGTCTCTGTCCCCTGAGTGGTGGGATTAAAGGCAACTCTTATAAAAGAAATTGGGGGCTTGCTTACAGATTCAGAAATTTAGTCTATTATCAGCATGACGGGGAGCATGGAGGCACTCAGGCAGACATGGTGCTAGAGAAGTAGAGTTCTATATCCAGATCCACAGGCACAGGCAACAGATCAATACTGCACCTGGTTGGGCTTTTGAGACCTCAACACCCACCCCTAGTGACACACTTCCTCCAACAGGTCACACCTATTGCAACAAGGCCACACCTATTCCTTCTCATGTAGCACCACTCCTTGGCCAAGCATTCACATATACGAGAGCGTATGGTGGTCACTCTCATTCAAACCTCTGCAGGCAGCAAGCACCCTTTGCTATGGTGGTCACTCTCATTCAAACCTCCGCAGGCAGCAAGCATCCTTTGCATGAAGAGCCACCCATGGTCTCATTTTATTTTTTGAGACAGGGTCTTTCAGTGAACCTGGAGCTTACCCATTCTGTTAGACAGGCTGGTCTGCAAGCCCCAGGGGTCTTGTACATCTCTGCCTCCCTAGTGCTGGGATCCCACCACTGCACTCAGCTTTTTACATGGGTGCTAAGGAGCCAAACTCAGGCCTTCATGCTTCCAATAACAAACACTTTGCAAAATGAGCCGTCTCCCCAACCTCTACCCCCATTCAGGAAATATTTATTTTTAATTAGGTATAGGTGTGTGTGTCTGCATCTGGGTATGTGCACATGAATGCAGATGCCCAAGGAGCTCAGAGACATCGTATCTCCTAGAGCTGGAGTTACAGATGGTTGTGAGCCACCTGACATGGGTGTTGGAACCGAACTTGGCTCCTCTGGAAGAGTAACAAGTGCACTTTACCATT